GAGAGAACATTTCAATGATATTGATAAACAAACATGATATGAAAGCAGATCTAAACAAATAACATAAACATATCATGCTGTTCGTTTGCCGGAAAAAGATGATAGTTAAAGCTTTTGATTCCATCGGTTAAGCCAAACTAGTTTTCCTTAACATCCAATTTTACCACAGCAAAACGCTTTTATTCTTATACCTCAATGGATTTATTATGTTTGGTGTTCTGTTAAAGTTTCCATCATAAAACACTTACTCAATGGCATTTAATGTCTTAATTCACGTGAACACAACATGCGTTCTAATGAATAATTGGTATAAAAGCATCAGGTGTATTTATTAAATTCAAATACAGTCATAAAGATACGAATTAAAATATCATATTACTAAAAATAACAAAATACAAAATTCCCATTCAGTACATTTTATTACTTTTTGCTGTCCTGTTCACTGCAAAGTATTACTTCGTACGTTTACACATAAGAAATTATATAATTCTAGATTATTGACAAATACTCCTTATAGTTTCAACATAAATGCATATCTTTCTAAATATGTTTCATAGCTTTTATGTTTCATTTTTAATCCATAGCAAATACATGTAGATTAAAGATATTCATCATTTTATCAATTATTGTCTAATACTTGCAATTATCACACCATCAGTACTTCAAGCTTGTTTAAGACCTGTACAAGCGCCGAAATTTCTTTTCAAAAGGAGTAATATTTCATATCCCTCTAAATAAAGAAGAATGGAAATATTAACATCATAATAATTTAAGCTTGTGCGATTATATTGTAATTAAGCTGTTGATAATCCAGCAACGTCTTGTTGAGTTTGAAAGAGTAGTGCTAATGATGAAACAAAATTTAATGTCAAATGTTTCAAAACTGATACTTATTTGTTGGTGCACAAACCCAATTAAGGCAATATTGCGCCGAAACAGGAAAGATGATTCTGCCTTAACTCGGGAGTTGCAAACTCAAAGCAACACAAGCAACACACTGGAGATACTACAATAACCCGAACCATTTTAATAGGGGTCTTACGATCACGCAGGGTTAAACGATGAGTGCAAATATGACACCTCAGCCCGTAAAGTCAACCCTTCAGCCACAAGGGGCATTCAAGATTTATACACAAATAGATATAGCATAAGATCATACGGTTTATGGTTAAAACAAAACATCGACGTATCGGCCTTTTGTAAACTTAATTTGTTCTTACAATCTAAAGGGGAACGTTCTGCTAGCGTTCACTGCTTATTAAGTGAAAACATGTATCCCTTACACTGTACATCATGCAATGAAAATTTAAATTGAACCATTTACTTGTGTAAAGTGAATTCTAAAAGCTAGTTAGAAATAATGATTGAATTTATAACAATTACTTTTAGCAAGTATTCATCAATCTTATGCTTTTAAGCAAAAACAATTTATATAATTCTGTTTTCAACGCCCGCATATTCTCCGGTTATTTCAATTATAATTCATTCATTAGTTAAACTATTTCCATAAACTATCTTTTAATCAATGAATACACACATTATCAATCAAACAGGTTTACAATATCATTTAGATAATTGAATCGTTTGAAATTCGTGATTTATTAGGAAACGGATAGTCTTGAAGTTTCCTAGAAATTTATTATATTTTTGTTATGTTGTTATAATATGTGTTTGTTATGCAATGTTAAATTGAAGATACAAATGAAATAAATATAATAATTTAGAAACTGTTTCATTATCGTATTATTTTCCATAGGTGCAATGAAATTTGATTTTATCTATTTTCCATATTACTGATGGATAGAATACAAGATAATTTAAGAATATATCAGCAACACCAATCAGTCGACGAAGAAAAGCATATAATGGTTTCATAAAAATAAGGTTTCAGTATGACATAAAATTTGAAAACAAACATCTCAAATTTGCAAAACAGGCTCCTTCAAACATAAATTTAATACGATAATAAAGGTTATTTTCGTTTTCTAAGCATCCTCTTCAGCCAAAAAAAAGAAAAAAATGCATTTAGGAAAATGAGCAAAAAATGTCTGAGGAGCACAGAGCAACAGCACTGCTGGGAAATGTAAGCTGGCTAATGATGCAACAAACCTCACTTAGCCCCCACATGTTTCAAACGAGACAGCGTAAATAAAATAAAACCCTGCCAATGGAAAACCTAACGGTTGTTATGCTTAGAAAAGGTCAAAGAAGTAAAAACAGAGACATGATCATGTGGATACAATTAAAAGTACACCCAATGGAGTTTAAGTTTCAAAATAAATCATTTGAAGATCATTTATATAATTTAAGGCTTACACATCAGAGACAGTATCAATAGTTTTGATCAAGTGTACATTTGATTTGAAACATACAAAAGGCTCCTGTTCGTCTACTTCTCATAAAATCATTTCTAATAGCCTCATCAAAACCGTCGATCACTTTTAAGAAGGGCTTTACACAAAGATGAGATGTGTAGTAACAAATGTTACGAAACACTCATACAATGTTTCATTCTTTTTGTAATTTTGTGTGCTTTTGATTTCAAGTTTGTTTGGTCTATTCGATAATGAGCTTATTTTTTCATATAACAGCGTTGAGGTACTAGTATTTATTTAGTTGTATTTGTATCCATAATTGTCAGTGCTTATGACTATAGTTATCATGTAAAAACGACGCACAAGGTCTTTATTTTCAAAACCTTCGCCCGCAAATCCTAGATGACGTTCGAAGGATGTTACAATGATCATTAACTGTTACAGCAAAATGTTTTAATAAGTGACCATAAACCTTGATCTCATTTTATTAACAAAAGGGATGGTGGGTCCATCTAATGAAGTTAAATCACGTTGATTGAATTACTTATATCTTATTCAGAAAAATCAGTTGGTGTTAATTAATATTAAAACCGAAATTAGCGGTATGTTTTCAAATGCTACGGGATAGTGAATCGTAAAAACTATGTGTAGAGTACTTGTCAAATTCAGCGAAAATGATATTCATATTAAAGATAACATTGACCTGACGACAACTATGTATTACTCGGAATTGCGCTCATTGTTTCTAGATAGTTTTTATATTATAAGCAACTAAAGTGCCATAAACTAAACAAATCATATGGATATTTCGTGTTTATTAAAGTGCAGTTTATGTATGTATATATGACACCAAAATTGAAACTTTATATTACAATTAAAATATGTCATACTCCGTATAAAGATGAAACTCAACAAGGCGTTCTTTCAAGTCACGACAAAATTCGTACATTTTTAATGCAATCATGTAATTCAATACCAGTTTACTGTATTACTGTAACACAGTTTTCGTATAAATTGTTGTCAATAATATAAGCTTTTTCGTCTCGGTCAATATGGCATTATCAGGTAATCATATCATATTCGATGGCTCACTAGTCATTAATTTTATAAATAACTGAATGAATGTATTTTCAACTATCATCGGCTTCTTTATTTATAAGCTTTACGAACATTGCTACTTCCAGCGATATTTAGATTTCACGAACTCATTTCTTTGGGTAAATATGTTCAAACAGTTTGGGGCTAAATAATCCTCTTTGTCTATAACCTATACAAACAGTGTAATAAATCTTGCCATCATCAATTCAAGAAGAAAGCTTCTCTTGTTAGTGAACTGTCTTATTGCAAAAAAAAATCTAATTTGTATAGACAGTGTTTTATCCTAAGACGTTTTATAATTTACTTTTTAGCAAAAAAAGAAGATAATATCTCCAAGGAATCGTCTTAATTAGAGATGAAGCGAAAGACGAACAGATAAGCAGATTGAGATAGATATAAAACAAAAAGTTAAAATATACTTTGTATAAAATAAAGACTTAGGAAAACATTGTTAATTGTAAATTTAAAACAGTACTAACAGCAGTACTAGCATGCTCAAACAATGAAATATGTGAAATTAGAAGTAGCTTTTAGCATATTAATTAAACAGGTAAAGCATGTATTCATGCGGCGGTTATCATGGAACCTTTAATGTGCAACTTTCGTTCCAATGCACGAAAACGGCGTATGGTTCACAAGTAAAGGAAAACGTGTGCCCTAAACGGGTGGGGGCGAAACAAAACAAAATGGAAATTTGAAAAGGGGCTCAGAGGTAATGAAGCAGCAAATCGTGTTATTTATTTAAAAGGGAAAAAATCGTTTGAATGTTTGTTTACTGTCTTATTATAAAACTTATTTGTTTAGACAATTTAAACTAGTTGTAAAGAACTTAGATAAGACCTTTGCAGGTCGGTCTTAACAACAAATAAAGAAGACACCTGTAAAGATATTGCACCGTTTCGTTTTTATTTGTATCTATTACACCTTAAATTACATAAGCAAAGTTATCAATATCACGTTATTAGGGAGAGATTCATATCAGTTGCATCTGTACTAAACTATTTTGAAAGTGCCAAATGTACCTGTGATTAGAGGAGCAATATTTCAATAACATCGAAAAAGATGCATACCATAAGCACTTAATAACAAACTAACTTATACTGCTGTTTATTATGCTTAAAGAGGAAAGAGCCACCTGTCCATAACAAGTCCTAGAAAATAACATTGCAACCTATATAATCAGTCGCTTATTTTATCACTTATGGGGATTTTAAAACTAATCATATAATTTCATAATTTAAATCAATTTCATAAAATATTCAATACAGGTTGTAAGCGATCGTAATAAAAGTTTCAGAGTAAAATCACTAGATGACTACAACGAGCATGAAAGACAGCATCCACACCATCCGGCTACACAAAAACGAAATTCCGAGATACTTGAACTATATCCAATGGGGCACCGGACATAAAAGGGCAACTGCATGGATTGATAGCGCAAAGTATCAAAATAAAGAGAGGAAAAAACTACTGCAATAAAAGTAATCCGAAGACTGGTGTGACTACATAACACCGCCTTTTTATGGAATGTGAATAAACAACGTCCATTTATTGAATGGATAGTACAAATTCATTGTTAGTACTTACATGAACTTGTTCCCATTTGTTGAAAAATGATCAATAGTTCCAAATAGATAAACCTGGAAATAGAAGATAATAACTTATAGTTTCTTACAATAATATATAAAGATATTTAACGTCATTGTTACCATATGGTAACAATTATAACAAAGTTTTAAATCCATGTAGTACTAATATCTAATGACCGAGTGGTTAACGCGTCGGACTAGTAATCTAATGATCGCTAGCCGCATGAGTTCAAACCCCGTCAGGGGCAAGTCGTTGTTTCCTTGAGCAAGAAACTTTACACACATTACTCAGTACTGGTTGGTTCCAGGAATTGATTCGAAAGTGTGTCTATAAGCTTATAGCTTCCTACACAATCGAAATAAAATAAATTCTGTATAAACCAATATCTAATTACAATATTTTAAATCTTCTTAACATATTTAAGAAAGCTAAATAGGTATTATATCAAAATTCTGCATCATGTACAACTTAACATCTTGTTTATAATTATAATAAGGAATGTGTTCAGGTATAATGAAAAACGAAGAGAACAAATTAAACAACACCAGTGCAGAAAAAGAACTTAAAACATTTGATATCCGTAATGCAGTTTCCTCTTAAATAAAGCCTGGGGCTTAGTTTGATTTTGCATTTCAAAGTGTTTCCAGACTTCTCAAGTGGTAACTATTTTACGAATTTTTTAAAGGAATTTAGTAATTAACAGTTGCCATCACCAATAATTCAAGTTTGTTGTATTTTTTGCATTGATGTTATCGTGTAGGACATCAGAAGAGCAAATAAAATTAAAACATTAATTATATCGAATAAAATCAAATCATGAAAAGTGATATGTTAATGTTTAAAGAAGTGTACATTGCGCACTTCATTTATATTCGTGTTAATTTCTTTCTTAATGATGTATTTTGCTCAATTTGATATTGGAAAAAACTGGTAATTACTATACAATGTCTAAAACACCTTTTGAATATATACCCGGAGAGAAAATATGGTACAGTATGATTATATGGTGTCTTTAAAAATCGTGCAGTTTTTATAAAAATATACCAAATTATTTTGACAATAGACAATGCGGCTTCCCAAACATAGTTTTTTTACATTTATTTATTCTAATTAGACATTTTCACGACGAGTTTGAATTACTGCAATAAAAGTATTTAACCCAAAGATGACTTAACCCAAAGATGAGCATAGCATAGTATATCTCCAAGTTATTTTTCTTGTATAGTTTAATGAACTCTCAGATGGGAATCAACTAAATGATTTTAGTCCTATATTGATTCATTATTACCATTAAAGTGCAACGGCTCCCATAGAAGAAAACACACTTAATTATCTAACCAACTGCGTTATTTTGGAAATGTCACAATATCACGGAGGAAAAAATATTTCACATGTATACATTTTATCATTACAGTACTTTTGTTTCAGAGTTTAAAACTTTGCCTATTTTGTTTTCTAATTCAGTTATTACATGACTCTATTCACATATATAGTACATCAGAATATACTTATTAACTCTGCTGAATATGTTAATTAAATACCTAAAATGCACGTCATAAGAATAATAAACACATTATTGCAAGATAATGGAAGATAATTGCCATATAACATGGAACAAATTAGTCCCTTAAGACCAGAGAACATGGCACCAACATACCATAATAGTGAGCACTTTATAGAGATTTTAACGCTTTAATTAAAATTTTCGATGTGATTAATACTTATGAAAAGAACAAAATCTAATTTGAAAGTAAAAAATACTTAACATTTAAATATCCTTTTAATGTAAAATAAATGGTTTGTCTATCCAAATCCTGATAAAAATAATTGCTATTACGATTACTGTTATAGACTGAATACCGCTGAGACGGTGCCCGGGAGCGTGAAAATAGTAGCACCTCTCATAATATCTTATGACTAGAAGCTGCAAGTTTCACCTATATGCTTTTGGTGTCGTTCTTTAATTATCAGAAGTACAATATACTAAGTAGAATGCTATTATGTTAAAAACAAATGAGTCATAAATCAAATAAAACAACGGATAAAGGGAGAATATATTTAATTTTAAATGCAACCTTCAAGTAAAAGGTCTAGTCATAAATCTATCACCACTGTCTAGTGATCAGCATGAGTATTTAAGTTCATTCCCCCACTATTTGTAAAACTGCCACTAAACGTGTTTATCTTTTCAAAACAGGTAAGATGCGTGCTTCTATACTTTCATTTATCTATGCCAATTTGTGCTGAAGGTGTGAATTGAAACGAGCGTCGCTCATGCCAGAAAAAAAATTATTGCTGTAATGTTTTGTAACTTGTTTTTCATTCATGCTTCAGGAAGAATATTTAATTTAGGAAATATTGTTTTACATTAGTGAAAGACCGTACTGTTTATAATATTAAATAGATAAAACACATGTTTCAAGTTTATGGAGTTTAATGTAATAATGAGCAACAATATATTAATTAGCAGCACGTTATTCTGATATTTAACTGACAATACAAGAATAAATTTGTACGAGTTCTGAGCTGTATCACATATTAGACTTAGTGAGTCTAACATGATTATATTGGACTTGGTGAGTGTCCAATATGGTTATATTGGACTTGGTGAGTACACTACCGTTTCCAAGCTATGTATGTGTGGGTTATCATGCTAGTGTATCAAGTATTTACATTAAAATGTTAAATAAATTAACATATATGAGCCGCGGCATGACAAAACCAAGATAGTGCGTTTGCGACCATCATGGATCCGGATTAGACTACGCATCCGCGCAGCAGCATGCTGTTTGCTATCAGTTTCTCTAATTGAAATACGGTTTGCAAGCGAACAGCATGGATACTGATCAGATTGCGCGGATGTATTTTTTGTTGAAATTTAATACGGATACATAAGTGATTAACAGTAGCAAGAAACCCTAATTGTACAATAATAACACACTATTTGCTCTGATGGAGTTAATTAAAACATAGTGTTTTTTTTTAAAATCTATTATTTCCATATCGTCGTATTCTAAAGTGACGTTGTACGATTATATTTAATGTCAAAATATAAATACATTTCACAGAAAATGTGGTTTTCAGCTGAGGTTTTAAAACTTGATGGCAAAACATTGCAAAGTTGGGATTTTTGTATTAAACAATATATTTTTCTTTAACTATTAATAATTAAAATCTTGCATTTCCTTTATATTTTAAAGTTTTACTTTTATATTTGATACTATTTGTGCCTATCATGGAAGTATTTATTGAATGGTTAATATGTCATCGTTTTCGTATATTTGTCTTATTTGTAGGCAGACGTCGTTTGCCGCAAGCTGCGGCACATTCCAACTATAATCGAAGGTGTCATTTACAGAAAGAAGAACATATGAACACATTTCCCATACAGGATTCACATAGAATTAAATATAGTTATTGAGACATAATACTTTGAATCATTTTGTCTAGCGAGTGATCTTTATATAAATATAGGTAATCCCGTCCCTACACAGTCTAAACTGTCCTTTGCTTACTTATTTTCTTAACGCTATGGAAATGTAGCAACATATCATTGATATCTATATAATAAATAAATAGAAAGTGTTTGTCCAATACTGAATGTATTGAACGAGTTAAATTTAACTCATATCATGCGAGCATCTGGCAAGAATAATATTACACGTGTTTTCAATCAAGGTGTTCAAAAAATTTAATAATGAACCTACACGGATATATTATTACGTTTGTCGGATAGATAAAGTAAGGATTGTTTGAAGTTAAATGTCACTGACGCGCTTATAGTGTAACGCTTACATTTAGCGCATCGATACGCAATGGTTGTCTCGTCTAAATAATTATATGCACGACTGTGCCATGCAATCATTTTAGGGAATGGGTTTGTTATAAATGGTCTCATAATAATATACAAATAATGTACATAACGGATATCATTTAAAATCCCGTTCTTCTTATGTTTTGGTCTTTTTTCACTTAATGCCAAATTGTGCGTATATTAAGAATCATTCACAACTTGTTAAGCCAAAATCACTTATTGCAAGTACAGATAAAGTTAAAATATTATACTTCATATCAAGCAAGAACAAATTGTAATAAAATAAATGTACACATGTCACTTTGTTAATTAGATTATTTGTCACTATGACTTCAAGTTGCTGTAGGTATACTGTAGATAATATACAAATTAACGACACCTGCACTTCGTTCGTTTCGTTTGTAAAATAGTATGTATATACATTGATATGAAGTGCACTCATATGTGCCAAGACGCCCTGCTTACATAATGTAATTAAGTAATTAAAATGTAGGAGTATCTTTAAATAAAATCTATGGCATTTATTCGTTTTTCCTCATTTTGCTATATTATCAAAATCAGCCCATGCATTTAGACCAATTTACGAGTAAACATTTTCTAACACTAAAGAGATTAGTAATAATATAATGCTTTAGCAAAAAAAAAAACATAGCTTTATTGTACATGTGCAACATAATTACATGGTTTTATTTCAGAATGCTAAAACCATAATAGTTTTATTACCATTTTATCAGCGCCGAATTGGAAAAGAAGTGTGCGTGAACAGCGCGGATAAATCTCGTTTAAGAAGAGGACGGTTTTGCACGATAATAGAATAATTTTAATAAACGAGGTTTTTAACTATATTAAGTGTGATTAAAACACAAATTTTAACAATTTAAGCAGAATTTGATCGATGACTGCTGAAATTGAATTCAGTGGTATCGACTTTAAAAGTGTTTTAGCATTATAATACAAAACTATTGTATTGAAGTTTTAATAATTGAGGAATAATTCAGTAATGACAGGTGTCAAAGAAATCTAGAATATGCTAGTTAACATTTGTCGCATTCGCCTAGTGGTTATGTTTTCTGTATGTTGTATATTATATACCAGTGGAAAGACATAAACTTTGTAAATTACACAACTTTGCATAAACAAATACAATACAACTTTTAGTGCGAATAGTGCATAAGTTGAAGTATAACACATAAGCCTCATACTTAAAATCATTAATTCATTATGTAACTCATAATC